CTTTTCTCTCCTGGCACCGCTTCTTGTGCTGTTCATTGTCTGGAGTAGGCTTGATCCTGTTCTTTCCTCCTCACCCTATAATTTGTTCAAACCAGCACTCCGAGTGCCTGAAACTTATAGCTCCTGAGAGTTCCTCTTAACTAAAGGTAAAACTCTGCCTGTGTCCTTGTTACAATACAAGTATGTGGCCTTAAAAGGGGGCTGTTTAATCCATTACTATATGGACATGAGTTACTATACCATATTAGCTAGCTAAGGTCTAAGACAGGGTAAGGAATAAGGAAATGAAACACCCTGGGAAAATGGAAATGCACTGGTTTACAGTGTTGAGTTACTTACTGAGCACCTCTTACCCTCCTGCATGATACATTAGCTGCTGATAGGACAGCCCACTCTGGGAAGGAATGGAAGAAGGAAAATAGATTGGGGTGGTTGGATCCTTTAGAGGCAATATTAGTTCCTGGGGTAGGGAAGAGAGCACCAAGGCAAATTCATAGTTATCCAAGAAAAACCAGATCGTGAGGGCTAGACCATGTCCTTTGTCATGCTGTACTCTGGTGGTAGGAACCCTCCTGGCTCCTGCAGAAGAGGCTAGGAGTAAACCCAGACAACGGGGGAGAGTAAACAGATCTCATTCAACCATGGCACACTGGGGCATTCGCCTGTTAGACTACTGGACAGGTTGTTCTTTGTAACTTTTTTAGGTTTTGGGAAAATAACATGTATCTTCTACTTCATGAATTCATCCTTGTTTATGTGAATACTATTGGATTCTGCTTCAATAGTATTCTTCCTCAAATTCCTCAAAAGTCATTTTCTCCTTATTCCAAGAATTTCCAAATACCCTGTCTCCACTTAGGGAATTATATTTGATTATCACTGGCTGGTATTTTCCATACAAGACAATGGATGGTATTTGAATTCCTACTAGTTGATTAGCCCTAGCAGACAATTAGTATAATACATCGGGCAAATGTATCATAGTTAAATAGTAGGAAAGAATAATTAGAAATATGGTGGTTGTGATCACTGTGTTAATACTTGTATTAGTCTAGTTGTTTGCTTTGTTTATTAACATGGAAATCTGACATTTATTACGGTAATTTTAAAGACAAAAATCTAGTTGCATTATTTTATTTAGTCATAAATCTTGAATTTCAATACAGAGGTTTAGTTAACAATATCTTGTTTTGTAATGAACTCGTAACAGTTTGATTAAACTAACATGATTACTCTTAACCACACAAATGCAAAAGTTCAGATTCACAACTTTCTTGATTGTTCTTCTCTGTCAAAGGTATTAGCTGATATTGGTTGGAAGAAGAACAGATTTAAATTTGCACAGTTGCTGCTACTGGAAATATATTATGGTTATAAGTATTGCAGAATTTGTGACAACACTTAGCTTAGACAAAATGAAGAACATTGGTATTATCAGGGTGCAACAAAATATATTCTTAGCCTGTTTTGTGGGATTAAGATACATAGCCATTTGACTGTTGAGTCTCATTCAGTCTTAAAATGGAGGAACTTTTTAAAAGGTCTGTGGTGATCCTATGGATTGGCTAGCCCAGGAAGCATTCTCAACCCTCTCCTCCCTGCTACTGCACGCAGTGGAGGCTGGAAAGCAACACATTTACTTTCCCAGCATCCTTTGCAGCTAGGATTGGCTGCGTGATCCATTCCTCCCCAGTGACACAGAAGATGTAGTCTATGGGAGGATTCTGGAAAAGCTTTTACTCTTCCTTATACTTTTGTCTCAAAGGTGGATGGGATGCCTGGAGTGGTGGGAATCAGTTTGCAACCAGAGGCAACAAACACGAGGACAAAAAGCCAACACAGCAATCATGGCCGAGCAGATACACAAAACAAGCCTGGGCTTTTGCTAACGCTATTCAGCTGCTACATACCTCTTTCATGTCTGCCTTCCTCTAGACTTTTAATTCCATAAGATGTTAATGGATTTATCATGTAAATAATGGCATGTCAGGTTTTTTTGTTTCCTTGTAGCCAATAGTAGCTTATTCATACAATTCTCTACCACTTTGAAGAGATAAGTCTACAATGATCTGAACACGAAGTCAATGCTCTGTCAAAAACATGGCCCGAATTTACTTCCATTAGAGTAATCTCAAGCAGCACTGTCCAACAGAATAGGGATGAAGGAAACATTCATACAGAACATATTTGCTTGTGTGATAAAGGAATATGTATTATCTAGATACAATACAGAACATACAGCCATGTGCTGTGTAATGATGTTTTGGTCAATGATGAACTGCATAGATGATGGTGGTTGCATAAGATTGTGATGGAGTTGAAAAATTCTGATGGTGGCCCCACCCTTGACATAACATCATAGAGCAATTACTCATGTGTTTGTGGTGGTGGTGGTGTAAACAAACCTACGGTGCTACCCGTAATATAAAAGTATAGCACATACAATTATGTATAGTACATAAGAGCTGATAATGATAATAAATGACTATGTTATGGTTTAATAAGTAAACATACTATTAATCATTATTTTAGAGTGTATTCCTTCTACTTATTAAAAAAAAAGTTAAGTGCAAAACAGCCTCAGGCAGGTCCTTCAGGAGGTGTTCCATAGGGGATGACAGCTCTACTTCGTCTCCCTGAAGACACTCCAGGGACAAGATGCGGAGGTGGAAGACAGCGATATGGACGATTCTGACCCTGCGTAGGCCTAGGCTGATGTGCATATTTGCATCTTAGTTTTTAATAAAAAAGTATAAAAAGTAAAAAATAATTTAAATAGAAAAAAGCTTTTGGTATAAGGATATAAATAAAGAAAATATTTTCATACAGTTGTATAATGTGTTTTTTAAGCTAAGTGTTGTTATCAAAGAGTAAAAAAGTTTAATAAAATTAAAAAGTTTACAAATTCAAAAAGTTACAGTAAGCAAAGGTTAATTTATCACTGAAGAAAAAATTTTAAGTAAATTTAGTGTAGCCTAAGTTTACAGTGTTTATAAAGTCTACAGTAATGTCCTAGGTCTTCACATTCATTTACCATCCACTCGCTGACTTACCCAGACCAACCTGAAGTCCTGCAAGCTCTATTCATGCTAAGTGCCCAATACATATATACCGTTTTTTTATCTTTGGTATCATATTTTTTACCACATTTTTTTATGGTTAGATACACAAATACTTACCACTGTGTTATAACTGCCTAGAGTATTCAGTACAGTAACATGTTCATGCTGTACAGGTTTGTAGCCTAGGAGCAATAGGCTATGCAATATAGCTAGGTGTGTAGTGGCTACACCACCTGCATTTGTGTAAATACACTCTACGACGTTCCCACAACGACAGAATGGTCTACTGATGCATTTCTCAGACCGTAACCCCGTCATTAAGCGATGCATGACTCTACAGAATATGTGGCCATTTCAATTCTCAAAATGTGGCTACTGTGATTGAGGAAATAAATTTTTAATTTTATGTTGCTTTCATTAACTTAAATTAAAATAGCTGCATGTGGCTAGTGGCTATTACATCAAATAGCACAAATCTAAAGAATGGCAAAATATTAAGATTCCCGAAGTTCTCTTGGAAAAAATTTAGCTTCTGACTTTATATATGCTATTTTAACAGGCCCCAAAACACTTCATTATAGAAAAATGATGACTTAGTGGGGCTTTACATAGTGTCATGTTTGAAGGCTGTTAAACAATATTTAACTTGAATATTAGCCAACTATGCAGAACTGATACCAATTTAAGCATTTTACATTGACAACTATAATAAAGGATGTCTTTTTGGAATAATAATCTTATTCAGACTATACTCATTCAGTGTTTGTTAAGACTTTTGTATTCCCAATTACAAATGAAAAGAATAATCATGGCATGCCAGTCTCATTAAGCCGTGGGGGTACAACAACTCTCTGAGACAAACTGTAAATTATAGTTTGCCAAAGACTGCTGAGTACGCTAGAAAATCAGCTGCAAAGTGCACCAACATAGTGCCAAGAGTGGTGGGATATTGAGAGTTGGCAGCTACAGATGCTCTGAGTGAAAGGACAGCAGCGATGGACACTGATTATCCCAGACACCAGCAATCCGCGGCACTGCCACATCCTGGAACGTGGTATCCAATACTGTCTCCGACACCCACATGGGACTTGGGGAAATGATTCCACCATGTCTTGGTGTCTTGTGGGAAGCCAAATAATCAGCATGCTCACATTTGCAGCTATTTTTAGAGCCCAAAGAACAACTAATTCTTCAAGTGTCCAAGGTGGCCTGGAGCTGTTAAAGGCATCACCTCTTCTATCTCCTGACAAGGATCACAGAGACAGACAACTCCTCCATCACTGGTTACCTCCTGGTTGCTAAAGGTCAGCAAAGTCCCTTTGTGTTGGGAACTTGGAAGCCTGGTGTTATGCACAATCTTAAGAAGTAGCTGACAAGCTGGGCTTATTTCTAAGACAAGACTATCTATATATATTCAGGGTTCCGACAGAAATGATGAAGAAAATAAGTTGAAGATTCTGTCAAATTATATTTTCTTATTCTCTTTGGTATTATGTATAAAATATTTGATTCAAAAAATATTCAATTTAAGCAAGCCACCACACCACATTTCTAACCAACAGGTATTTGCACTAGATGCTTCTTGAGACAATTATAGAAACTAGATTGACTCAAAGCTGATTTTGTCCTCAGAGAAAAAGTATTTACACTCAGTATCACTTGCATTTTATATTGACGAGTACTCACTTCTCATCAGTTTACACTGCATTCCTCTGCAAACACCTATGTTTTCCTCATAGGTGCTGCTTTGACCCATTTATTTTATGGTGGTGTCCAATGTCTAAGAAGATAAAGGTAACCATGTGTGAGCAGTTAAGACTCAGTCCTGATAGGGGGAGGCATAAGACACGGTCTCTAGGAATGAATGCACTGTGTCTGAGAGAAGATTGCATGTAGAAAATGTCTCTGTAAAAGATGTATCAAGACATGAATTTTTACCTATGATGTGGCTCTGAAATGCAGAATCTGCAACTGTATCTTCTTCATCCTCTTGCAAGTTTTCATTTGCCTCTTTTATCTGCAGCAACAAGAAAATACTAGAAGTTCTTATTTATTATATCAAATAAATCTTTTGCAACCATCATTATAATGATACATTCTGTAACAAATGTGTGGGCATGTGTGTGTGTCTGTACATACATGTGTGGCTGTATGTATGTATACATATACATGTACATTCTTTCATTCCACTTTCTCCCACTCTGTCATTTGGCTTTATTCCAAGTTTTAATTAGAAGAGAATATTTTCAGAAATATAACCCCAGCTCTTGAAGAGAGGATTTACAGGGTACCTGATTCCACACAAGATTTGAGAGATAAAAGCTTTGGTTTTTAATACTTAAAAGTCAGTAACACAGGGCTATTAGGAAAAATTAAAGTCTAAGGAGGTATAATTCCTCCAGAGTCAATGACTTCTACCACAAGTTATTTTAATAAGAATGAAGAACTATACTTAAAATGTACTTAGATCTCCTGACCCTTTCCTGGAGTATAACTAAGAAAATGATTCTTTATTTCAGTCTTTCCACACTGAGAAGAGGTGACTCTGACATATGATCAGAGAACTAGAGCAGTGAGACTTTTATCTAGATTTTTCATGTCAAAAATATTCCTCCTTATATTTCGGCTGGAATACCCAGGTGCTTGGTGGTATAGCATCAAATAAAACTCTATAGAGAATCTAATGAAGTCACAGTATTTTACACGTGAGAATTCTGAGGTCCAGAAGCTTCCCTAAAGTTAGCATACAGAGAGTACATGGCAAAGCTGGCAAAGGAAACCCAGGTCCCCTACTTTCCAATCCAGTAGCAATAGCAGTAACCACATCATCAACAATCCCAACCATAATAAAAACAGCACGTTTACATACTATGTGGCAGGTGCTACTCACATGTAAGATCTCCAAATTCTTACAACAATGCTATGCGGCAGGTGCTACTGTTAGCTCCATTTTAGAGATGAAGACCCATCCCAAGGCAACAGAGAAGATAAATAGTTGTCTAAGTGGTGGAGCTGGGATTTAAACACAGCAAGTCAAACTCCAGATTTGTGTTCATTTGGAGGAACTTTTTTATTCTCAAAGTAGAACTTGCCTCCATATCCAGCTGAGGGTCCTTGGAGGAATGACCCTATGTAGCACTTTTAAAATACATTCTAGCCAGTCACCTGGGCAGCCAGTGATAATAATGTGAACTGTACAATGCAATGGGGGTCCCGCTTGGGCACATACATTAGAGGCTGTCAATGGATTTGCTGAAGGGCTTGAGTTGAATGCCAAGAAGTCATTATTTTATACTTGCAATATAGAAAGTTACATGGTTGCATACTGACTTTGAGCTGGATTCAGCTTCCTACTTTTTACCTCCTATTTTCATACTTAATGGAATAAAACCAATTATCTACATTTTATGACTGCAGTTCCAATATTAGAATGTAATTGGTGCTTAATTTGTACCATGCCAGAAGATGGCAGACTCAAGAGAGTATGGAGGCAGCTACCTCAACCCTCCCAAGGAGAGATTGTTAAGGGTCCCCCGTCCAGAGGCCATGCTTCATCACTCTCATTCCCCTTCGGCTATCTGGTCTTGGGGGCTATTCCCTGTTGGTCAGCACCTCCATAGGAAGAAAGTTAGGGAATGAAATAAAGAAGGAAAAAGGGACTTCATTAACTATTTCTAGCAGTGTCTATTTATGGATGTCAGAAAGGAAAAGTACTACAAGCATGAGCAAGGCTAAAGTGCCACTTATTTGCCTTCCACAGTTCACTTAGCTCAGGGATTTGTTTCTGAAAAGGCAGGTGAACCAAAGATCCATTGTGGAAGGGATCCCCCAAACACCTTAATTTCCATAAATAATCTATTGGGAGTCTTCTATTCTCCTTTATAATAACATCAAAGAAACCCACTTATATTTTCAGTTCATACTGGCTCTTACAGCAATATGGTCCATATACCTAGTAAGGTAAAATTGTATTTCCTTTGGATTTTTTTAAATTTACTCATTTTAAACTTGCAAGGGTGTCCTCGTAATCTGTTGGAATTGGGTGAATCATCATCTCTGTCAGCCTGTGAAATTCTAAACTAAAGAATAAAAAAATTAGGGCCAGGTGTGGAGGCTCATGCCTGTAATCCTACCACTCTGGGAGGCCAATGCAGGAGGATCGCCTGAGCCCAGGAGTTTGAGGTTGCAGTGAGCTATGATGATACCACTGCACTCTAGCTGGGAGTAAGGCTGGGTAAGACTCTGTTTAAAAAAAAAAATTAGAACAAGGTCCTTATCTTACAAAGGAAAATAGGCTCAGAGAGGGTTAGTGATCTGTTCAAAGTCACACAGGATTTTAGTTTTAGAATGGGCACTCTGGATCCCTATTCATTGCTGTAATTCAATTTTTCAGAGTGCCCCATATTGTCACAGCTAACATTCCCAGACCTTCCCAGGAACTACTATATCCTTCTGGCAGTTAGATATGGAGGCAATATACCAAGTATCCATACATTATATTTTAATTTAAGAGTAGCAAATGTGTTCTGTGTGTGTGTGTCTGTGTGTGTATGTGTGATGTGTAACTGCTCTGTTTCCTTTCCCTACTGTTCCCTAACCTTTCTGTAGAACCACCACCTTCTTCAAGTATCATATTTAACAAAGAAAGTAAAAGCTATTGCACAGTCCTACCTGTCAGCTCCTTGTAAGAACCTTTCTAGGGCTTTATGTGCCTAACAGAAAATGCTCAGTGTGACCTCTGGAGATTTATCAGAGGAACTGGACAAGTCTCTTGTGCTGGATGACCCATGAAAGGCAGATGACCTATAGGGGGTAAATTTTGAACTTGAAGGGGATGGATGAAGAAGCAACAAAAGAATGGAAAATGGGGACATACTTGTCAACTGTAATTATCCATACAAACAGATTCCAATTCAAAGCGGCGAGTAATTAAAAAAAAATCTATTTGCCTATGGAAATTAGGGGCATAATTTATTTTGGCAGTAGATTCCCCTTGCTAATTATATTTTTCACAGGATGAAATTTAAATTAATTTTCATTCTTGATCACACAGCGGTTGGGTGTTGGTAGGAAGTTGTGGGAACTTTCCTGGATGGTAGGAGGCTGTCAGGTCAAGATTAAGAACTTGCCAAAGACAGGCACAAATGGGACAACCTCCATATAATAAAGAGCTGCGAAAAACCGGCATGGCCACAAAACTAAGAAGTTTGGCAAATGTTTGGCCAAGAAAAGACTGGTGATTAGAAATTTCTCAGTCCTTGCTGTCCCAGGAACAGACACAAATCAATCTCAGTAATGTCCCATTTGGTAAAGAGTAGACGGTGACTCACAAGCATCAACTATGGGCTGTTTTGGGTTTAAGTTTGTCAGTACTTTGGGTGTCTTCTAATGATACATCACTAACTCTTGTCCACTTTGGGGGGCTCTACAATTGTAGTCAGGAACTGCTCCAAATACCAATCTGTAACAGACAACCATTAAATATCACTACCTTCATCGTATTCTATTAACCCCTATCACTAGGAAGGGCAGGACGAAATCAGCTTACAAAAGACACAGGAGGAAAAAAAGGAAACATAATTCACTACTGATCAATACATACACATAATTTCATAATTAAACCCAATATTTGGGAACACCCTTCATTTGGAATTCTGCACACATTTCTTCTTTGAATCACCCTACACTAACGGTTTCCCAAGAAAACAACATTTTGATGTCAAAGCTTTTCCTTTTTAAAAGGAAAAAACATCATGAATCGAAGTGAGACAGGAAATGATCCTGGGAGGAAAAACTCCTGAAAGACATAACCTTTGAAAAGTTAGTCATTTAGAAAACTTTGCAAGAGGAGAAGAAAATATGCATGCTTCTTATTAGCACCAAAATAGCATTTAGAACAGAATCATTCAATTAAGGATGGTAAAATTATAACATTTTACAGAACTTAATGACAACAATTTGTGTAATTATTGTACTATTTTCTTCACCACAGTGTCATTTTAATGGGATAGTATTTGATGTTTTTTTATTGGCAGATGTGATTTTTTTTTCAGACTGTGACACCGGGTGAGAATACCCATAATTTAAATTAAAGTACCCATATTAAAATGACCATCTCTTTCCAGTGCATGATGAAGGTATATCATCTCGTTAATTTTGTTAATGATTTTTATTTTTGTCCAGTGATAGTTAAATAGGAGCCTGGAGCTGTCTTCCTTTGAGACTTCTCATTTCAGAAAATTATCTAAATCCACAAGAAGGAAGAACTTAACAATGTGCAGCAAGCAAAGTGCACCTCTTTCTCACTTACTGACTTAATACCAATGCAGTCCTTCTAGGAGGTGGCTTTTCCCCCTTTTATAATGATTTTATATAATTTAAATAAAAGTACAAAGTAACATGGTCCTTGTCTAAATTACACAAAAATTAGAGCTAAGTGGTCGGTAAATGATGACAGAAATGGGGACATAAGCTTCTAATTAACGCTCTGAAATGAGAAAAGGATTTAATTCAGCAAAGCATTAATGGGACTTTCAAACATATTTTAGAATGTTTCTAGCAATACTAAAAATGGATATGCAGTTACTAGTGAACTAAGTGGAGGTTTACTACATACATGGATTTGTTATATGTATGGAAATAATCTTTCTAATATAATCGCTATAGATGAAAATAATGAAAATACCTTAGGACTCTCATAACTACATATCGGCTTGTAAAGAGCAAGTGATGATGATATGTACAAATGTGAACCTGAAACAGTCCTTCAAGATGGACCCCAAGCAGCTGTTTTAAATTTAAATAGAGACAAGCAGCCATTATCACGGGTCACACAGGTACTCTTGAGTTAACAGAAAAGCTGCACCTTTTATTTTTGAAACCTTCAGTGCTCACCTGAATCCGCCAATCACAGCTCATTTGTATCAACCAATCAGGACACAGCTGTGTCAACCAGTCAGAACTCAGCTGCACTGACCAATCAGAACTGAGTTTCAATCCTTCATTTGCATAAATGAACCTGATTGGGAATCTACTCAGGAACTTTTGCTATAAAACCCCAGCCTTCCCTTTGTTTTCTGGATCACACCTTTGTTATACAGCTGAGTCTCCTTGGTTTGCTGGTCTCTTTCCTCCAGATTCCTTTTCAGAGAACTTTTGTTCACAGTGATATATATATTTCTTCAGCTCAACTATTTATTTCCCTATGGTTCAAGGCTACTGAATGTTTACAATCATTGCACTTACTGACTACAGTTTTTAGTTACAGGTTGAATTGTCCCAGGTGTGGATTCTGCCAAAATCGTGGTCACTGTCCACATGATGTCTGGAAGACCGTTTGGCAGGTAGAGTCAGGGAATTTGCTAGGATTTGTTCCTCATACACTGCAATAGTACAAGTAGGCATTATGACCCCCTGTAGCAGATGCTGTCAGTCCCCTGTCTAGATGCCTCCTATGTCATTAGATTGTGTTCCTGAGGACCACTTCTAACTCCTAGTATCTGCAGGTCTTTTCCTTGGCACTCTTTTTAGGAATTGTTGGAAAGTACACTGCTCTTGTATGTCATAAGGTTTTTGAACAATGGTTTTGTTCAGGAAAAACGTGTGATATGTAATGCATTATATGCAGCTATTGTTTTCATCCAAAGTAACTACTATGAGAAACATTCTTTGCAATACACTTTAAAATAAGCAGATAGCAAATTTACCTTGAGCCCTAGTGGGGGGAAAATTCCCTTAAAGTCTGAATTTTAAAAGGTTCATGGGTATTTGCATCAATGTGCTGTGGTATCAAAGTACATCTTATTTTGCATCTAATCTCCTTCCTAGATAGGCTGATAACATATAATAAATGAGTTTTCACTGCTATTCTTGTACTAGTCCCACAGGAGTCTACAGCAATGTCCTTTCTGAAATTAGTAATTTTAGCCCAATCCACACTGATGATTACGGAGATGAAACAAAAAACATTGCATTTTACATTAAAAAAAATGACTAGCTGGTCAACTATCCAGGTTAATAACATTTCTCTGCATGGAAAAGCTTCTCAGCATGACTAATTTTGTCTTGCGGCTAACTAGAAAAATTAGCATATCCCTATTGATTATGTATATTTGGGGTGATTAGGGAATCTTTGTACTTCACAGAAAATAATAAAAATGTTTCTTGCAGATATTCTGGAAGGACCAAAGGACCCTTATGACCACCCTGTGAAAGACTACAGATGAGAGAGGAAAAGCATGGCAAATAACTTTAGTATTAGGAAGTAATAAGAAAGTAAAAATGAAATTGTAAAAGCCAAACACAGGATCTTTTTGTTTTTTTGGTATGTCTGTACAGTGAAGATATACCCGAAGCTGTCAAAACCATATTAAATGGGGCATAGTTAAATTGAGTGCCTCTGATAAGGGGCTCTGCCAGGCTATCAAAGTTTTCCATCAGCTGGATTGAATTTCCAGCATATTGCACATTTCCACATGTTCATTCGCTCTCTTTCCTTTCAGTGACACTACAAGGGCAGCCTTAGATATGCTTATAATTTGTGGTTTTATAATGCAGGGGATATCTATGTTTTCAAAGAAGGGATGATACCATGAGAACCAAGAGCAAAAATGGTGGGAAAAAAGAAAAAACAAATTTTTGCAATGAATATAATCTGCATACAATTTTGGAGAGTTTAAAAAAAAAAAAAAAGACCTTATAGTTCTGCAGAGCCCAGAGATATTTGAATAAAAAATTTTCAAATTAAAGTCTGTGAAACTCTAAGGAAACCTAGACATCAGTAAGTAATTACAACTAATAATTAATAACTAAGAATGCCAACCATGATCACTTTTAAAATCTCTTCTACTCTCAAACTACTCCAGAAAAAAGATATGTAATTACTTCATATTTCAAATTTTCCCTTAGAAAATGATAGCATGTACTATAGAGATACAGTAATTCTCTAAGGAGAGTTTTTTTGGTTTAAGTGCTCTATCTAAAAGAAACAATGAACATCATCAAGTCAATTACACAAGAACATAAAGAATGTAAGGAGAGTAAGTGTAATTTCAGGTAATTTTAAAACAAAAATATTATCTGAAACCAACATACCCTAGGAAAATATAAAATATTCTCTTATTTATTTACTTTTTAAGGAAGTCTACTCCCTCAGTTCTCACAATGAATAAGCTGAACGATAGGGAGCCAAGTACCAAAAAGGATTTCTTAGTCTTAACACCTTCTGTCTAGGTAGGATGTATCAGTTCCTACAACTTTCATAAAAAATGAACAATGCTTAAATCAAGTCATCAAAATAGCCAATACTCTCTTAAATTGTTTAGCACTTTTATTTTTAGAATCATGTTCATTCCTTCTTTGCTGCTAATGATGTTGGAAATAATCATCAAAACAAATTTCCAGCAAAGGGTATAACTGGAAGATGATGCTGGTAGCATCATTTGCCTGCAATGCACCATGATTATACCGCTGTTCTGAAAACAGAGCTGGGAAAAGCAGTTGCTGGAGAGAGCCATGCCCACTCTCAGTCCAGCTGATAGCTGTCTGTTGCAGTTAGCACCAGGATTTCTCTCTCTTGTTTTAAAATATCTTTTTTTTTGACTTTCGTTTTTTCCCCATAATCTTTTACCCCCATATTTTCATCAGCAAAGAGTAGAAGGAACCCAGCCAGAACATCTTAGAATATAGCTCTTGGTACTCAGGATGATGGAGCACTTACCAGGGAGTCTTTCGGTATTTCCATATCGGCTTTGGTTTTGATGTTTTTCTTGTGGTTTCCTTGAGTGCTGATAGAGCTGCCGGTGAGACAGGAGCCCTGGGAACTGCCCTTTAGCACATTCCTGCAGGAAACATTATTTGATCCACTTTCTGTCTGTTGAGCTGTTTTCTTATCAACTCTGCAGGTAGAAAGTGATTCCTCTGATAAATTACATTGCTCTTCCTCAACCACTCTCCTTTTCCCAATCCTATAATGTTCAAAGTAACCTCCGTGTAGCTCTTTGTCTTGAAACCTTTGAGTGATAGGTATTTCTCACTAGCCTTGATCAAATCTTCAAATATTCCAGTAGTGTGTCAATTTAGATTTCATAATAATTTTTTTTATGATTGCTATGGAGAAGGGCAAAATAAAAAACCACTGAAGAGTGATTTCTAAATATATTTCTGGCTTAAGATCGGCAGGAAATGTAATTATCTCTGGAAAGTTTATAAATATACGTTTGCTCAATGAAATCGGCATGCTTTAAAACGTATGAGTAATTTTCTTCCATTTCATGCCATGTGGGTACATTCATGGTTCCAAGTATAGGTGGAATTTCTATCAACCTTGATAAAACTTACCATTCTTTAATTTCAAAGATCATTGGTTTGGTTAACAAAGTAACATGGACTAAATTATCATTTTATTGCTAACTTTTATATCATTGTTTAAATTCTGGCTAATGTGTAAAAGACTGCTATTATGCATTTCTGCCTATATGAAAACATGCTTGACTGGTATTTAACATGAAGGAAGCAAACAACTCTCTTTAAGGGGGTGAAGAGGGACCCCTGTGCATACCACCCACTTTTCCAATGAGTTACCTGTTCAAAAGTTCCGTCAGAAAGGTATCTTTCGATGAACATGTAACAGGGCTGGGTCTATTTCTCGGTTCAAACTTCATTTGGTTGTAAATGTCTTGTGGTGTTTTCCAATTATTTTTGCTTTGTAAACCACTGTCTGGACTATCTGCTGATGTGGTATCCCTGATCACCTCATTTTCTATCTCACACTGTAGTTCAGGCTTCTTTTTCTCTTTTTTTCTTTCTGATTTTAGTTGTTTGTTTCCAAATCCCAAGACTTTTGCATCTTTCTTTTCTACTTTGGTTTTGGAGACCTCCATTTTCCTGCTACTGAGGGCTGGAAGTCTACTCTTCCGAAAACCGAACCAGCTGGCAAAAGAAGGGCCGGGCTTCTGCTTCGCTTCTACAGAGGTGGACTTTGTTTGCACTTGGCCCTTTTCCACGTTTTCCTGAATGCACAACATGACCTTTTCTTCGATTGTGGGTGAGGGGGGTGCTTCTGAGCTCAGAGCACCAGTCCCAGTTGTAGAGGCATCTGGATGCCTTCCAGAAGTTTCTAACTTGGATGTCCTGCTTGTTTCAAAATAGCTTGGACACTGCATCCTTCCTGGGCTTTGCAGGGCTTGAGGGCAGTCTGTTGGGGTGGGTGGGCGCCTGCAGCGGTCACTGGCTGGCTCCACAGTCACAACCACACAGGGACACTCTCCCTGGGCATAGGCCTGCTGGCCCCCCTCTCCAGGTGGAATGAGGAGCCCTTCAGACTTCGGAGGGATCCTCAAAGGCAACTTGCTTGGGCTCCCATGATGACTGCTGGAGCTTCCTGAGCTCCCCAGGGAGCCTTGGCTGGAGGAGGGGTGCCCCAAGGGCCTCCCAGCAGTGGGGAGACCCTCAGACCCCAGAGTAGCAGGGTTCTTGCTGGGAGAGCCTTCGGTAGAGGAGTTCTGCCGGGTAAGAGAATTGCCTCTCTCAGCAGTGTTGGTAATAATCTGAGTTCGGACTTTGCCTGGCCCTTCCATGGGAGGCGTGGAGGGCTTGTCTCCTGAGTGAGCACTGAAGCTCTGGCTGCGGGCTTTGGCGCCATTCATGCCTAGAGCGGGTTTTAGGTGTGGCTTGCTGGAGGAAAGGGATCTTTTCACAGATCTATTTTCTACCTCATCTCTTCCATCAGCTCCAAGGATGCTACTTTCCAGTGACTCTGGCAGTGCTGCTTCCAGGGGAAGCCCTTCGGCTAAACTGTCCTGTGCTGGTAAACCCAGTGTAGTCACATGTTTTCCGCCCCCTGTGGTCTCATCAGGGCTTGCTGGATTCCTGGAGTCCTCTGGCTTAGACTTACTCACAGCCACAGAACTTTTGGAGGCTTCATTTAAACTGTCTTTTTCATGTTTCCCTGGCACCGTGGAACTTTTCCTGAGCAATTGGGGAGACTTCATGAGAACTTTGAGTCCCACTGGGAGGCGAGTCTTCAGCCCTTTCTCATGAGCGCTCTGACAACCATGTGGGCTACTATGGCTTTTGGAGGATGACGACGAAGGTGAGACACTGCTAACCTGAGATGATGGCGACTCATTTACCCCTAAGAAGGAAGGCTTGGGGGAAGTGGAGACACTGTCATTCCATTGTCCTTTTCTTCCCGGAGATACGCTTTTGGAGGATGGTATTTCCAGTGGCTCATGGGTTAAAGGACAATTCTTGGGAGTCCGTAACCCCGTGTCCATTTGTGTGGTCCCAAGAGATTGGTGAGGAGAGGTTTTGGGGACAACTCTCTTTGGAGAGACCTTAGGAGGCCCCAGAGCCATCACAGAGAATGAGCCCGAGGGGGCATGAGCAGGGCATCTGGTCTGAACCACTGTTTCTGTGGAGGGCAGTGGGTGAGTGAAGATAGGCTTTCTGAAGGCCACAGAAGGTTTCTTCCTCTGTACTTCCGTCGTGGCCTGATTAGAAGAACTAACAGCAGTGGAGGTTCCTTTCAGCAGAGGGGATTTGAATAGCGTCCTTGCTATTTCGCCAGGGACTCTGGGTTCTGGCTTGGCAGTTGAAGGTGGTGGCGAATACTCATGGTTGGGCCTGGTCAGCAGGGAGACTGACCTGCCGGGAGGGGGTGGGGGAGAAGGGGACCTCACCCCCGCCTCTGGCCCAGAGTCGCAGTGTCCATCCCTCGTGCGGGGCTCTCCACTGTCACTTGGTGCAATGAGGGGCCTCGACCGTGACCCAGGAGTGTGGCTTGTGGAGCACTGGGCCCAGTCTCTCCTGCTGGGCATTTTGGAGCTGTGAGGAAGTTGGGTGGGGTGTTTTGGAATGTGTGAATCTGGTCGTAATTCAAAGAGGGGCCCTGGGCTCTCAGTCTTTGTGAACCGTGAGAGTTTCCCAGGGGCTAAGGCCGGTGATTTTTCAAGAGTCACCGGGCCAGAAGAGGGGACTAGTGTCGAGGCTTCAGGCTCCATTAGTTTTGATTTCTGAGGTGAAGGCTTGCTTCTGGCAGGTATTTTCGTCAGACTTTGCTTTTGATGAATGCCCATGGATGCCGAAGACCTAGAACTACTCTGACATGACATGCTGTGTGTTGGCCTGACCAGCTTTTGGTGCTGAGTATTTTGTGTCACTGTCCTGGGGCTGAAAGATTCAGTGGGCACCATGGGAACAGTATCTACAGTAGCTTTTGGAATGTGTTTCTCAGTTTCCTCTTCAGATCTTTTGAAGAAAGGGCAGTCTCTTGCATCTGCTCCTGGCTGTAAACAAGTAATTCCCTGAGGTAAAAGTTCAGTGTGTTCTGCCTTGGGTCCAGTGGGGGCTGAATTGATGGAAATTTCATTTCTGGTAACAGTGACAACTCCAGTCTGGTGAGAGCTGAATTCAATGGGCTCGCCGTCTTCTGCATCAAATATTACAGTAATACACTCTTCTGAAGAAGTCCTTTTAATAACCCTTTGCTGCTTAATGAAACTAAACGTCTTTGGCCTAGTCTCTACGTGGATGGGCACTTGCTTTTCCTCCTCATCAGGAGACTCAAGTTGAGATTTTCCAAATCCCATGAGGACGTCCAGGTTCTCCAAGGACTTATTGGTATCTGCAGCCAATGACAAGTCTGAAGGACTTTTCTCATCACTACTCTCTATGTGCAACTCACCAAGGGTTTCGTTGTCATCAGTGTCTGAAAGCTGGAGACTGAGAGCCATGCGGCCATGGCCCTGGCTGTGTGGATCCCTCTCCCTCTGTACCTGAGGCGCCTGCACACTTGGGCACAGGTTCCTCTCCAAGAGACGGGTACTGGCACAACTCGTCAGCTTTTCAAGTCTCTCGTTGGGATAAACTGAGGACGTGCCTTCCGAAAAGTGTTTTCCATCTGGCTCCCAGCCAAACAGACTGTCAGAAACACTGTGGGTTAACTTACTACCATGGGGCCTGCAGCCCTGGCTTGGGGTTGCTTGGAGCAACACTAAGGAAGAAGAGCTGTCATCAGCGTCATCATGGGAATCTGTATCAAAGACAAATGCCTTGTGGGGCTTCTTGTGGGGGCTCCCTGTGTCAGTTGGTTTGCAGGGGGAACACTCTTTGAGGCTGCTACTCTTAATTCCTGGAGAGTATATTCCTTCATTTGAGTTCATGCAATCTTTGTAACCCCATTTGGTTATCACTGACGGGGGTTCAAGTAATACTTTTCGCTTCTGTAGCTTTCTTAGCCCTTCCAAAATGTGGCTTTCCTTGATACGAGTTGGAGGTAGTTCATCTGTAGGACTAGCGAAGCCACTTGGGAGCGAAGAATCAATACTTAGCCTTTTATCCCAGTTTTGTGATGACTGCTAGGAAAGAAAAGTAGATATCAGAAATGATCACACATATATAAAAGAAAAGTCCATCATGGGACTTAATTTGTGCTAGTGGTTGATAAGTATTCACATATAAATGCCTACATTAATTAGGTAATTAATTAATTCACTAACTATACAGCAAACATTCATTTGCCAGGTCCTATGATAAGCAGCACGGTGGTAGAAAGAAATAGAAGGTAAAGACCATGACTTCAAGGAACAGAAATGTCAGCAGGTGAGAGATCACTTGGCCACAACTACCTGTACATCACAGGAGCAAATGACAATACAAACAGTAAGTACTCTGGATATCAGAGGAGGGGAGACTACAGATCTGTTTGGAAAAATGATGAAAGGTATATAGGAAAGTATTTCTTAAAAAAAAAAGTGCTAGTCATTGAAAGAAGTCATTGAAAGATGGATAAGTTTGCCTTAGGTTAAAAGTGGGGGAAATGATTTCCGAGTAGAAGAAATGTGATGGGCAAAAACCTAAGTTGGAAGGTATGTTCAAGGTGCACTTAGGGAATGACTAAAAGACAATATGACTTCGCTGTGGAGTATCTCTGAGAAGTGGAGAGGGTAAAGCTGAAAAAACTAAGTTGGTCCATATCTTTATGTTACTCCCATTCTAACATTTGATAGTTCTGTGACTTTATGGCTTTATTTGGTAGGCAATGGATGTCTATGAAAAAATGAAGTTACTACACACACACACACACACACACACACACACACACACACACTAGCTGGGCATGTGCTGTTAGAACCTATAGTAATTATTCACCTACTAACTCAGAAGGGTCAATTTCTCGCCCTTCATACCTCCCGAAATACCAGCCTTAGCTTTGGAAAACTGTATGGAAAATGACATTGGCAAAGGAGTGCTTTCTACGCATTCATATTTTCTCATTGTACTGCTAACGAGAAATGAAAGGGAAAACAGAGAACTAACATTTACTGAGCACCTGCTGTATCCCAGCCGTTACACAGTGCTTTAACTTCATCTTCAGAAAAGGAAGCTGAGAGTCACTGATTGGTCTGTTGGAGATCACACAGTGAGGAAGAGCTGGAGCAAAGGTCTGAACTCTGGTTTTTCAGGCTCTTTCTACAACACTGTCGATTTTGACTCGGTTTGATAGTGGCCGTGAGGGGATGTGCACCCAGGCAGTCTGGCTGTGGAGCCTGCACTCCTCCACTTGGGGCCGTGCTACCAAAGCCAAGGTTAGCCCCTGGTCTCCTCTCCACGGGTCAGCGCCATCACAGAGATCACAGGTTACCCCACGCAATTGCTTGAATGGAACTTGTAGAGTTTAGGGGGCTGACCTAGTGACTTTTTAAAAAGGCTCTATGATTAATGGTGAAGAACTTCAAGGGAGGACTAAAGTGGTTTCAGAAGCACACTCTATACCAATCTTGGCTACACCAGCCATCCCCTGCCCTACAACTCTGGACACCGGCCCCATGCTCATATACAGAGGCTAAAAAAGTGTCAGAAACTTCCACTGGGATCTGGGCTTTTTAGTAAGTTGTGAACATTTGCTTACTTCTAAGGAATTTTCATGAAAATTACTCTTGGTATCAACTACACACACGTTTGTTTTTTGTTTTTTTTTTTGTGCTCTACACGTTAAGAGAAACTTCTCTACTAACGAACTATAGAAATGATCCCTGAAAGTATAGTCTTTGTTTTTAAGTCAAATAATATATTTTCTTTAGAAAATGCTCCAGCATCAGAAGGTGCCGGGGCGAGACGCTATTTGGTGATCTTCTCCCACACCATTAAAAACTCCTTTGGAAATCAGAAGAAATCCCACTAGTGAATCCGGGTATTACAGACAGACCAGAGAGCAGCTGCCACAGTTTGGGTTTCTAAGAATTTCCAGGATCCTGACAGTCACTGACAATAGAGAAGAGAAACCAGACAAAAGCACCCCACAAGAGACTGAGAAAGGCAGATTTGTTCAAGTCACAGACGACAAGCTCAGCCTCTGCCCCTGATCTCCTTTCTGCCCCTGCAGAGCCTGCCCACGATGCGATTTGGCCCACCCCACAGTTAGCAGCTGCCAGCCTCCCAGGGCCCAGGCTCTCTGCCTGCCCAGTGAGACTAGCCACATTCTTCCATCAGATCTCCACAGGAGGTTAAGGTATTTAATAACTTGAGAACAGTTTGGACCAATCTTGAAACTTGAGGGGGAAGAAACGCATGCATCCCCTGTGGGAGAGACGGCGGGGGAGAAGCTGGCATTTCTCACAGGCAGCTTCAAGTACCTTGCTGGGAAACGCTGGAAGAGAATTGCTCTAGGGAAGCAGTGTGGTTGGCTAAAGATGCTGCTGACAAGGCAGAGGCCTGTATTTAATGTCCATAGGCCTCTTCTATTTCTTGATGGAATAATAACCATTTTATAGTTCTTTTACAGGACATTTTTGGTCTTAATCAGAACGAATCAAACCCTACAAAGGGAACAACCCCTCCATGGTCCAGGCTGACTCAACAAGGCCAATGTAAACAGAATGATTAAGAGGGAAGGGCCTGGAGCTGACTGCCTGTCTCTGCCATGTACTGGTTATGAGATCTGGGGCCAGTTCCTTAACTTCTCAGCACTGTAAAATGGGAGAATGGGAGAACCTACTCAGTAGGCTGTTGTGAGCATTAAATGAGCTAATACTTGGGAAGTACTTAAAAAGCTCTGCTGCACAAGGCAATTCCTCATCAATTGGAGCCAAAGTCCCCCATGTAGGGCAGGCTAGTGCATTTCATGCAGGCTTCCTTTCTGTTTCTACACACACAAAAAGTATTTAAAAAAAATACTTGTGAGCTCAAAAATGTCATTAGTCATATATTTTTTATTATATAAGTTAATGTAGTATTCACATTCAAATTCATACGCATGAGTTTGTTATGTAAGTTACTAAATGAGTACATACTAAATGAGTCCCTGGCACAAGGTAAGAACTATAGCATTTCCTTCACTAATATAAATTTTTTTTTTTTTTTTTGAGACAGAGTCTCACTCTTTTGCCTGGGCTAGAGTGAGTGCCGTGGCGTCAGCCTAGCTCACAGCAACCTCAAATTCCTGGGCTCAAGTGATCCTTCTGCCTCAGCCTCCCGAGTAGCTGGGACTACAGGCACGCGCCACCATGCCCGGCTAATTTTTTCTATATATTTTTAGTTGTCTGATTAATTTCTTTCTAATTTTAGTAGAGGCGGGGTCTCGCTCTTGCTCAGGCTGGTCTCGAACTCCTGAGCTCAAACAATCCGCCAGCCTCGGCCTCCCAGAGTGCTAGGATTACAGGCGTGAGCCACCGCGCCCGGCCTCACTAATATAAATTTAAAATAACTTGACGGGCCTGGGCCTAGCCTGCTGGGTTCCTAAGAACCAGGACTGTGCACTGCGAGATGTGACCATGGCAGGACCCTATCAGGGATCCAGAGGATGGCCACCAGAGTGTCCATGAAGTTTCTTAAGGACCTTCCTTCTCTTCTTTCAGGGAAGAAATTGCCTTAGAACATCAATGAGTGCTCTAATTGGAAGAATTTCAGCCAAAAAATGAAAAAGAAAGTAAAGAGACTCTGAGAGGGAGAGAGAGGAAGAGGTGTGAGAACGAAATGAGCAGAGCAGGGAGCCCTGGGAGCCAGCGGTCTTCACAGACAAAGCAAGAAAACATCCCGGCCATCTTCCCAATCCGTTCTGAGCCAGGCCCCTGGCAGTCATTATTCAGAGCTCCTAACAACTCCTTGGAGGGAGCGATTTTGATAATGTGGCAGGCTCTGTACTTTGCATTAGAAGTCTGAGTCCAAGGGAATAAGCTCTAAATGCAAGCTTGAAATCTTTTTCTGAGTTCTTGCTCAGAGGATGACAAAGCTACTCCCTCACCAATATTTTCTGGGAGTTCTGGACTTTTTATGGCTTCTATACTGCCAAAACCATAAACTAAGTTTATACAAATGATAGGAAAATGACCTCCAAATATTCTGATTCAGAGTTTCCATTCTCATGTACTCTTTGCTTTTCTTCAACATTAGGGAACTGCTAAAACACCTACTTCAAATATTTGCATTACAGTGTGGGCAAAGAGATTTGTTCAAAGCATGAGAAATCTGCGGTTGTGTGAGCCCTCTTTGCAGATGGGAGTCGTTCCAGTGGTAGTAATTATTTAAAAACCTGGTGAAGGAATTCCTGGCATATTAATAGGAACATGCCTACTTTTACTTGATGTCATGGCCCCTGTCATCTGCCATGGTATTTTCTCTCTCTATTATGCTGTCCTCCAATTTACAGTAAAATAGTGTTTCATGAGGCTATAGCATTGATTAGAGGAGGTCAGTATAATACCTGAACGGATACTCAGCAAATGCTCATTTCCTTTTTACCCTTCCCTCCCACCCTCCATGACCAAACCCTGCCAGAAGAGGATTCTTTTCTGGTTCACTCTGATGCCGAAGTGCCTTAGGAGGCCTTACCCTTTTCCTGAGGTTCTTCCCGTCATGCCACGTGTAGGAGGAGCCGCTGGAGTACTCGCTGCAGGTGCTTGAAAGAGACAGTTCACTGCTGCTGCAGCTGTTTCGAGGACAGAGATGACCAGGGACAACAACCCCCAAGCCTGGGCATTTCAAAGCCAGGGTTCCTGATTTTGCATTCAGTTGGTATTCCTGAAAGAGCAGGACAGCTCTGAGCAAGGGGAGAGTAAATATCTTGCTTAGGGGCGAGTAAATATCAACTGAACCGCATAGTGAGGTAGGAAGGAATACAGATACTCCTTGACTTAAGACAAGGTTACATCCTGATAAACCCATTGTAAGTTGAAAATGCATTTAACACATTTAACCTACCAAACATCATAGCTTAGCCTAGCTTACCTTAAATGTGTTCAGAACACTCACATTGGGCAAAATCATCTCACTCAAAGCCTATTTTATAATAAATTGTTGAAACTCTCATGTAATTGATTGAATAGTGTATTAAAAAGTGAAAAACAGAATGGCTGTCTGGGTACTCAAAGTGCAGTTTCTACGGAAATGACATCACTTGCATCATCGTAAAGTTGAGAAATCATTAAGTTGAACCATAGTAAATCAGGGATTTTCTGTGTAGTACAGTGCAGTAGGTAGAAGCACAGATTTTGGAGTCCCATAGACTATAGGCTCAAATCTTGGCTCTGCTTCTTACTAACTGCGGCTATAGGGAAATTATTTCATCTTTTATAGCCATATTTTCTTTTAAAAGGGAATAATAATAATAATGCTGCCTACCTTATAGGGTTATTGTAAAGACTAAATGAGGTCCTAGCTATGAAGCATGAAGCACAGTGTCTGGCCTACAGTAGGTGCTTAATTATTACAAGCTACCACCATTATTAGGCAAAAGTATCACAATGGTTGTTGCTCATTTTATTCAGCCATACTGGTGAGAAAATCAGATCAATATCAAAACATGAGTCCAATGCTACAAAAGGAAGAAGACAGAGTAGCATCTTTGGCTATAGGTTTAAGAGCATGAGCACTAGACTGCGAGTCTTGTGGTCTAGATGTCAGGCTACACACTGCCACTAAATATGTGCTTTTGGGCAAAGAAAACATTTAACTTCCATGGACCATAGTGTCTTCATCTCTAGAGTGGAGCAGCTCTACCGGATTACTGCCATGGTCCCCTCTAGTTCCGATAGTATCTTTCTAAGTCAGCAACCAAATGCCCATTGCACATCTGGGCCACCTGACGGGAAGCCATGCACAGCGAACACCAAACTCGGTATCATGAACTTCCACTGTAAAAGATAATATAACTTTTCATATCCAGTCCTTGTTACCATTTGGCTATACAAATGGTAACAACCCTCACATTAAGTAGCTCTGGGTCCCTCACGGAAGGTCCAGGCTATTGGAGTTCTAGTGGGTCTGCATAAGCAAGGGTGACAAATAAAGCTGTAAACATCCAGGCATATCCTGACAGCCACATTACAGGCCCCTCTTGTAACAGATGAAGCTCCAGAAACCGGACAGGCTAAACTAATTTAGCATGCCGACCACTGAGAACAGAATCTCCCTATTACCATCTAATTCAAGTCTCCTATTTATATAAAGCTTTGTTTCAGAAACTCTTTGATGGGGAGCCATCTGTCTTTGTGTCACTTGCAGAGTGGCAAAGCTTCTTACTTCTGCAATTTATTGACAGTTTATGGGTGCGTTTAGTACCTGAGTACTTATCACTATTCTCCAAATGCAATTCCAACTGACGGTGACTAAACACCAGCTTGGGGAAGGAAGGCAAGGATGATCTGATAGTACTTGTGGTAAATATTAAGCCCCTATATAAGTACATAGGGCATGTTTAATTTGCTCTTTAATCAATATCCATAATGCTTAATAATGTTAGATTTTTCAGTATTAGGCATCTGCCTTGCTATCAATACTTCATTTTTGCCGCATAACAATCTCTTTAAGTGATCTAAAAATGCCAAGAAATTTTACTACTCCATTTTTCCCCCTGAAATTTGGCTCTAAGTATAATTGAAAGGAGAAACATGTCTTAAAATCCAGCTTTCAGCAATATCTACTGATTTATGACCTTGTTTATTGCCAGATGTAACTTAGTTAAGGGGAGTTCATATTTGTATCTGAACAGATGCCTACAACCAGTGGTTCTATCGCACAAAAGCACCTGCCATTTAAGCCTCCGCCACTGCAAACATCTGGAATGTGCTTTCAGAAATATCACTTAGGCTCCGCTTCTGCCTGTGTGCTTTCCATTGCCGCCATCCTGTCCTCTCACGTTGTGTTGTTCTCGTAAGCAGAGTGGGGTTGTTATTTGAGACTGCCTCTGCTCTGACAGATATGTCTGTTCTTCAGAGAGAGTGTGTTTGCGTCCTGCCAGGGTATTCAGATCTAAACTTCTCCAATAGCCTTTTCACATTCTGCTCAGTTTTCGGTTATAATGTACATTTTACCTTTTTCCCAAAATATTGAGCTACTGTAAGTAATTTCTTCTGTCTTTCCTACCTATCCTTTCCCAATACATCTATCAAAACTATACTTACTTTTACAACTCGACTCAATTCCCAGGCCCCCTTTAATGAATAAGCCCCCTCTCCCAGTCATCACGCACGTGTATACCTCCTGCACAGATGCTGGATTAAGATGACAGGAAACTAGAACTCAGGGGATGGGCTACAGCAGGAAAGAATTGCTGCCTCTCCTTTGGCCTTGAACTTGAGATGCCCAGATGTGATGGAGGATACTTAAGGGAGGTGGAAAAGGCAGGCCAATGACATGTGCAGGCAGGCAGGGATGGTTAAGCAGACAGGTGTCCTCTAAGACAAACTTTTCACACTTCAATGTGCATATGAATCATCAAGGGATCTTGTTAAAATGCAGATTCTGATCCAGTAATTCTGAGGGAGAACCTGAGATGTATGTAGCACTTTTAACAAGTTCCCAGGTACCTCGATGCTGCTATCCTGTGACCTGTGCTCGGCGTAGCAAACCTCTAGGAGAAGCTATCAGAGAAGTCCATCTCTGGTGTGGATCCTTGGTAGTACCGTGTGACACCTCACAGTCTGACCTGGGCTGTGCTGAGCCAGATAAGGGGAATGGCTGAGCCCATCCACGGGCCAGTGACTTGGGGAGGGTGTGTGTATGTGTAGGGGCTGGTTACAAAGTAATTCCTCAAAGAGGGGAGGAAGGGGCCACTTCTCCCTACTGGGAAACTCTCCCACCTTCTCCCGCCTTGGACAATCAATGTCTGCATTTAATAAGGGCTACCTAATATAATGACTGCAAAGTGAGCTCGTTTCTCCTACAATTTCCTTCATCAGAGTGTGATTATCATGTAGGATTATCTGCTCCAGTCAATCACTGTTCTGTGGTTGAGTACTTGAACTCTGTGGCTGTTTATGAAGTTTAAATCCTGGCTCTTCCACTCACTAGCTCTTTGAGCTTGGGAAAATTACTTAACCCCTCTGTGCCTCAGTTTCTTTCTTTGCAAATGGAGAGAATGACAGCACCTACTACATAAGATCACTGTGAAAACTGAACAGCCCCTGACATATGGTAATGCTTAGGTACTTTTAGGTTTTGCTACCATTATTAAACATGGTTTGCTTGTTTTTTATATATATATATATATATATATATATATGTATGTGGTCTTTGCTCTTCAATGAAGCCATCAGTCCATAGTCTCCCCCAAATACCTCATTTTACACTTCTTGAGACCCTGTCGTATCTGACGCCTTGCACATAAAGTGGTAAAGTAACTGTGTTGGTAAGTAGCCAAAAGTGGGTGTACTTTGTTTCCAGGGATCGCTGATGTGTGTGATATTAGTAGATACCTTTCTCAGTTATCATTTCCACCTTTGCCATGTTTTTCTGTGGCTGTGGCATGATGTCACATATTAAAGGAGAACAGAAGAGGGCTAAAGCAACAGAGGTCTTATTATTGTCCCAATATTGGTAGCAGGCACAGTGTTCCATGCATTTCATGTATTATCTCACTTAATCCCCACCACAACTCTCCGAAATAGAAAAGAAATATCATTATCCTCATTTCGTAAATGGGAAAACGGAGGCACTGAGGTTTTAATAGCTTGCCCACAGTCACCCAGCCAACACAACATTCTGATGTCAAGCCCAAGTCCCAGCCATTATGCTACAATGCCACGTAAGACCCATGACAGTGAGCAGAACTCCCAGAAATACACAGAACATCATGACTCTCCCTGGGCATAGCTGTTATTAGTAATAGATAATGATTATTCTTAAAATTCTTCTTTGTCACAAATATATATTGGCTTCCACTGCAACATTATCTTAATTATGTTGATTTAATTGGGAAAATACATCCTGTTTGCACTATCCCACGTGTACTCTTCTCACTGTTTATTTTAGATTATCACCCTGAATGGCTCACATGCTTTAACATCTTTACTGTGAGAAATGCAGTATAAAATCTGCAATTTTAGTTTAACAATAGAGAGAGAGAGAGAGAATGAAGCCCAGAGTTTCATTCTACACACTTAAAAATAAAAACTGCACACTTATAAAATTCCTGACCTTAAGGCCATATTATAGATTAAATGTCATAAGGTCTTTATGAATGTTTAAAGTGACAGCTTTCTACTGAAATTTAATTCCAATCTAACTCGAGAATATTTACCTTTGATATCCTATCTATTATACACTGACAAAATTATACAGTAAAATAAACAACCGGTTATTCACAAATGTTCATGTCATTTTTTAAGCCTAACATTTTTCATTATATATTTATTTGGCTGTTGTGTTTTTTCAAGTTACTCCTTCTATGTCAATGAGAATTAAAAGCCATGCTGGTTAAAGTTTTGCCAAATAAGCACAAAGGTAACCCTAGCTAAAGAAAAAAATGCAGAGCCCATGAATTTTTAAAAGTTCATACATAATATATCATAAAAGTAGGATGAATAATATGGGACATGGGTTTTAATAAAAAGCTCTGGCCATTTCTCAGAGACTTTGAGATATAATCAATACCCAAAAAGGTATCTTGGGGACAAAGCCAAGATTTATGATATTTTTGCAGAAAGTGGCACTTTCTGCTTACTGTATCAGCTGGGGGACATGATATTGAATTTCAGAGAACACAAGAAAGGAAGGTATTTTTATCTGCCTGACAATGCTTCAAGGATGCACTTTATGGTTCACTTGTGACATCATATTTGATGGAAGGAAAATAACAACCTAAACAAGTGTTCTGAAGGCAACTGGAAAACTCACGTGCAGCTCAACATCAGTTCGTGACTGTGTCACACTTCTGCTTCTTTCCACTTCTGAAAGCAAATCTCCAGATGAAAGATTTAAGATGCGTGAGTGAAGTTTCTAGGTAAAACCAAGCAGAAACATCCAACGGTGATAATTTAATTGTTTCAAAATCCTGCCTTAGACAGCTAACACTCAAAAGAGTTGACAGTTCCAGATTAGATACTACATGTCTTAATTCAAAAAAGTTTACTTTAGTTTTTCAGTGTTCCATATACATATAAGTATATATGTGAATTTTATTTTATAAACAATAATCATACTTTTATAGTTTGTCATGCTGCCTTGGAAAATTTGTAGGGAAAAATAAGTAGTAGAAAAAATGTGAATATTCCAAATACTTATTGGCTAGTATGAAAATTAACTTTTGATATTCACATTAAAAAACCAATCACCAAGTTAACCTTATTATGTTGAGCAGTGGTTAAAATCTGAGCTGATAATTATAAAAGTGACCTTATTTCTAAACAGCATTAATCTTGTGAAATCTTCCCTTGGACACATTTTAACTCAAAGTCATTAATGTCATCTGTTAGGAACAATTAATGTGAATAAAAAATAATTGCATTAGGGATCTGGGGACTTGGAGGATTTTGTGCATTTAATATTCACGTGCTTTTCAATCATATACTGAATTCTTTATTTCAATTTTGCTTGGGAGGCCTGCTAAACCAGAGACATTTTACTATATTAATCTTTATACTAATTACTAAGGCTTTTCTGTGGACATTAAATTTGATCTGCTTGATTGCAAATACAATAAAACGTGTCTACTGTTTTTGCTACGCTGATAACATTTTAAAAATGGTACTTATAGCCTGGTTTGTCTTGGTTACAACTTTTGTGACTTCAGACACTAAAAAAAAATCTAATTGAGTAAGTAAATAACGTGGCTAAGCATGCCTCCCTCACCTCTGAAAAGTTTTTCTACTCTCTTTCCTCTCTGGAGAAGCCTTGCTGCATACTGATGCTGATCCAAGAAACGCCTTAGAGTCGTTGCTACTAAGTAAAGTTAGGATGGTCTTGGAAAGCAGGGCTTGCCCCACAGGTCACTTTGTCCCAGCAGATCTACCATGGTGTTGGCAGGGACCATAAACTCCACTAAATGAACCACATTTGTTCTGTTCCCATTTGACTCTCTATAGGCTGACCTTCCATGAGAGAGCCCTGTGCACTCGGTTAGTTGGTTATTCAACAAACATTTATTCAGCACCTACTAGAGGATGAGCACTGTGGAAGGCCTGTGCTCCACCCCTCTGCAGGGACAAAGGTAATTTTTCTGTCGTGGGTAGACAGTGGACCTTCAAATCACTACTGCCTCACACCAATACCCTTGTTTCTCTCGCTTTGTGTTCATGGAGGTATTTTCATAAAAAAGTGAATAAATCCTAAACCAGTTGCCTGTTGCTTTGAAAATTCAAATTTCTCCAACTTAGCTAAGACTATAATAAGTAACCAGAACCATCACATTGTTTCTGGACAATTTTTATAATGCTTATCTGAAGACCCCTCTAGAATCTGAGTTTCTGGGAGAAAAAGAATTTTTCTCATCTTTTAACCCCCAGGACCTGACACAGGTACCATACTCGGTAAGTATCCAGTTAATGATTGTTGTAGTCTGTAAACAAAATGATGTCTTTATATTTTCCCCACCCACATGTAAGTTTAAAGGATTGAGAGAGTACCAAAAGAATCAGAATGTTGTGAGACCTAGGAATACATTTATCAATATGCGAATAGTACAAGAAGTTATGGGAAATGACATTCGACAAAAGAAATGATTTTGAGTGGTATATCACGTGATTTGGGGGAAGACTCTTCTACAGATCAGCTCTCTGATTTCTTATTCAGCTCATGATTGCACTTCACTTCTTCTCAGATGTATGATGTCACCCTTTTGCTCACTGCCTGAGTACGTGAGGGCAAAAACCCACCCTCCTAAATGATGTTATGTTTCAGTCGTTTTTCTCCAAATGGGTCAGTCCCCTCCATTGAAACAGGTAAGGTCTTGTGGGAGAGGGAAGAAGGAAGAGGTTCTGGCCCTGCCCAAGGCACAGGCTTTATAGGATCTCAGAAATGTAATCAAACTTCTCTGTCTCAGCTCCCTCACCTGTCTCAGAAAGATGGAAGTGACTACTTAATCCACTACCACAGGTAGAGACGGGCATTGTCACAGTAAGAGGGGACAATAAATAAGACAGTATACTGAAATCCACACAGCCTTACACCAATTTACTGTCATAAGTGGGAGTTGGTGGTGGGTAATTTCTTAAATTATAAGGTACAAACGAGTCACTTGTTACAGTTTCCACACAAGTGAGACTGTGCCAAGAACTGGCTGTCCTTTGACACAATCGAGGTGGAGTGGCCCCTTTAAGGCAGTGGTGATTGATTCTGTAGCTCTCCAGTTAATGACAGCAGGAGAAACTGGAGGCGGAGGCGTGCCTGAGCCTTTCAGAACTGGGCTGGTAGGCCAGGGCTTACCATCACGTTTCATTCCTCGAGGCTCAGTGCAGGCTTGTTGCATTTTACAGAATTCTCCATCTAGGTTTTTACTGAGCACCATCATGATTCTTAACTTTAAGGAAGGTAAGGCCAGAAAGACACTGAGTCCTTATGCAGTGACACAAGGTCAGGTTAATAAACAGATCTTCATCTAAAACATTTGGGCAGCGTGGGAAACCATGCTGGACGAATCAAGTAAAAGAGTGATGAGCAGCTTTTGTATTCACTGGTATACTTCCTAAAGGTTGAAAAGGAATGTGTGAATTTTTTCATGTCAGGATTTCAGAAGTTATTAAGTCAGCTTTAGAAGTAAAGAAGAAAGTACAAAAAGAAACATTTAACCATGGCTCCCTTCTCTTCATTCAGATTTGGTGAGAGAATTAATCTAATACTAGAATCATGAAATAATTATTCTCCGCTTTGACTATTAAAAGCCAAATATCTATATAAAAGAGAGGTTTTAACTACTCAGCACCTGCCCCAGGAGAGGCAATGTTGGCAGCTGCCCTGGTCACTGCTGACTGCTGTCTTGCTGAGCTCCGCTGACCTCATCCATCTTGGCTGGTTGCTCATTTGGACTTGGCCTTGTTTAGGAATCACCTTCTCTCAAATCTAATGGCCTGTATCCTAGGCTGCTTCCTTGGATGAAGAACTTATTGCTTTTTCAGCTTTAGTTTTGTTTTCAAGTCACCCTGTCTCCACTTTGGAGAGCTGTTCTTACCTCACAGCTTCCAGAAGGCTTCTGAGGGCCCTTCCTGCTCCCTGGACTCAGCGAGCCCAGTGTATCATTCCCTTCAATCCCACCTCAATGGAAATAAACCTGGAGTGGGTTAGTACGAAATCTCCCGAGCATGTTGCCATATTGTTAACCTCCTACGATTTCCTATGAGTTCACCTTTCTGTTACAGGGGTAGAAGACATTTGTGGCGGATTTGGTATATATTTAAGAGAAGTGTTTAATTTGGACCCGAATTAGACATAACCAGGTGAATAAGCTTTGTTCCTTCTGTTGGGTAATATGGCAATTTTCACAGGTGTGCATAAAGATCTCTAAAAAGAAGTTCAAGGAAATTTTCTAAAATAGCTTGGAGCCTGATGAAAATAATTTTTCTATGGAAGCTTTACTCACCAAATGATCTTTCAAAAAAAAAAAGAACTCCAATTTTGCCTTATTCGCATACTAGACTTACATTTTTGCCGTACTCAGAAATGTGACTTTTTCATCAGCCCTTCCAAATCCCATAAAGAAAGATTGTGTCAGATCCCTGAGTTCACATTTCACAGGTTTCATTCTATTCCATTAAGAATTTATTATAAAACTGAATATTATATAACTGCATATTATATAACTGAGTATTATATGGTCATTTCTTAGATTCACAAAAATTTGAGCCCAGGACAAAATCTTTTTGGATAAAAGCTGATGTTTAATTAATTAAGCCATTATTTCCATTTTGGGATACAAAGATAAAACATAATATCTGCATCCTGTCATCCTGCTGACATGACACAAAGAATGTGCCTTTCGAATGTTCTCCTAGAGGCCCCTTTAAAAAAATATGTCCATCATAATTTGATCTCATTACAGAGTCTGAAATTTTTATAGCTAATTTTTTAAGCCATCTACAACAGTCTCTGTTACAATTATTATTTTCCCTGGCAACTTTTAGACTTGTCTTGCATATCACTCTTTAGGTGCCCTGAGTGCGTTCTGTTTTGCTTTGGATGGTGCCTTGGCAAATAATATGGTACCACAGCCTCTCTTCCGCTTCTCTGGGATCCAAGGTTACACAATGCTTCTCAAACAATTATTACACAGCTATATTCGAAACCTTCTTCGAGGGTCCCTGCTACCATGACAACCTGATTGTCTAGTGGCTGCCTAAGGGAACAGCATTTGGTTTGGTGACCAGGAAGTTTATTTGGGGTCTCTACAGCTTAGACTGCTGACTAGAGTACCTCAAACCCTCCGATCTGCCGCAATTCCATCAGCAGTGCCCTTAGGACCTGCAGGGTGAGGACCAGCAGGAAGATGGATAAGCATGAAAAGAGCAGACCTCGCCTTCACAAGAAACATTTATGAAGCACCTGCTATTATGTGTTCAGAGTCCTGACTATGAACTGTGACAGACTCAAGCAAGCTCATTAATGGAGCTTATGATATCAATGAGGAGCCCAAACACACAAATGAGAAAAGAACATAAGAATTCTTAGGTAGAGCATGCAAAAGAGATTATAGCAGAGTGAGAGTGCTATGGGGGTGGGGTGAGTGTGTTCACAACACAGTTAAATCCGTGTAAGATAAGATTCTGTGCGACAGGGACTTAGCTCTCACTGCCAAGCTCCCAAATCTCTTGGTTTCAAATCTTTACACAAAACAAGACAAAAAAGAACCAGGAATACTGCAGCTATAACAGCAAAGTGACAGAATGTTGAGAAAAAGGATGAAGGGTTAGGGCCCCCCACCCCCCGTCGCCCCCACCCGGCAGGGCAATGAGACCTGCGGGCAGGGGCAGAGCCTAAGAGTGGTTCGCATTTGCTTGCCAAGTCGAAGG